ATTAAATTGATGGATTGGTTGTTGGGTGATGAACATATCGCAGAAGATCCCTGAATTAGTTGCTGAACAATTTGTGTGAAACTGCACATGTGTTTCTTCATTCCCACACCGGTTTGGTTGAGATGCATAGGGGTCGTTGAGATGCTGCTGGGGTTGTAAGCGGAAAACAACCGGATGCAATCGTATTGGAATTTGCCTTTCTCTGTTTGCTTATGTCCAGGATTGTCCCGTATCCATTTTGGGAGTGGGCCGGATTACTACATAGCACCAACAACGTACGGGAACTATTGACGGCTCGCCTAGCGTTCACATGCCGTGTTCTTGGGTCATGCATGTGTGTATGCAAAGCAAGCATGCATGCATCTTAAACCCAAGATCGGTTCACACCGTTCTTCCTTCTCTCAGAGATAGAGGACTGATCATATCTCATCTCAGTGGCTCAATCATGTGCATGATCCGCCATTGGCACACAAAATTGCAACCAAACCCAAAAATACTGATCTAGATGAGAATTCGCCAAGTCCTGTCTAAGTGACGTGACATTAGCGTGAAACAAGTAGTCATATCCCTCCACTAGAAGAAAACTTGTTGCGCCCACATCTTCAAAAAAAGGATCACACCCCCGTGGCGCTTCCATTAGGCGGCTCAGGCGGGCACTAGTCGCCACTGCGATGACATATCCTCCTCCCTCCCGCATGTCTCGCCGTCACTAGAGAAGCCGTTGGCGAAGCCCACACTGACTCCAAGGAAAGTGGCGGTGGAATTTTTCACCTACATCACACGTCCTTCCATCCCCCACCCCCATCGGGGTCCGTCATAGTAGCTGCTACTTCGGTCCTTCAGCACTCCCTTCCAATGCAGCAGGGCGGCCAAGCCCCCGCTGCTTGTCATGCTGGTCGGGGATCTCGTGCTGCTATGCGGTGGCATTGACGTCGGATCCGGCCTGATCAGGGCCCTGCTGGATGGGGCATAGGCAGTGACTGCTAGTAAGGGTCGGGCTGGTTGCTCCCTTTCTCACTGTTAGTCGCATCCAATAGCATCAGTAAACGTCTCAGTCTGGTGTTTGAGTTGGAAGGATTTCTCTACTATGGTAACACCTGTCAACAGATCGTTCGGGCGAGGTTCTATGAAGCAGCCAGGAGGCTTCACTGTGGGTGTGGGTGTGGGTTTTGGTGGCTCTCACTCTCGCTAGTTTTCCTTCGACGGTCTATGGCATTGTGTGGACGATGACTTGATTCAGAGGGTATGGTGGTCCATTGGCAATGGTGAGATTTCTAGAACACATGTAGTTGTTGGGATCTTCCAAAAATGGTGGGCAATGGTGAGATTTCTAGAACACATGTAGTTGTTGGGATCTTCCAAAAATGGTGGCGACAACTCATGATTGACTCCAATTCAGTGTTGCTCTTTGAGTACCCAGTCTTGAACTATTGGGTGTAAATCCTAAGTCTGGCCCGGGTAGGTTATACTTGGCAATGACGATGTTTTTGCGTCATGACCTTGCTAAAGGCATTGCTCGGATATGCTCGGACTCGTTGTTCAGGGTGAAGAATCCGACCTTTGGTGGTTCGATTCGGTGATAGTGGCAGTTCAGCATCGTTCCCTTCATGAAGGGGTTGTTCTTGAAGAACCTTGAAGTCCTTGTGGTGTCAATACATGGTTAATGCGGACATGGTCAAAGATGTAGCTTGTCAATCATTGTTTTGATCACTTTGATTTTTTTCCCATGTTGAGGCATAGTTTTTAGTCTTGTATGACTTTGCTATTTTTTAGTGTGTTCAACTGCATGCATGCATTTGTGTTGGTTGTGTGCATCCTAACTATGCAGAAGCCAGATGTGTGCTCACTGTGTTTGTATCCACTTGATACTTCATTGTGAGTCAACATAATTCATCCTTTGCCGAAAAAAGCATGAAAAAAGAAAATGAAAAATGAAAAAACCCGCAGGAACCTCCACGAAAGATCCAGATGGAATATGAGTTTCATGAGACTTTGGTACTTCTCAAATTTGTTAGAACATCGATGTGGTCTTCTACGTTACTACTACTGTTAGAGCCAAATCCCTCTGCATTTCAAAATACATGTTACATTCGTTCGGTGCGAAAAGCTTGAAACCAAATAGATCAATATATCCGGTGAACTGATTGTTGGTTTACGGTGTAGATCATCCGTATCGATCAGGACTACTTAGTGCCGAAAAATTGTGAAACTGTGTATGAATATATGGCCGATGGACCGGATCCATTCTAGGGCGTTAAAAATGATTTGTTTCAGATTAGGAACGTTGAGATCATGTGGGCGCTGTTTTTCAAGGAAATGGAAAGAATGCAGTGGGATTGGAATCCTCCTTTCCCGATTTGTTGCCTATCCAATTATTGTCTCGTATCAATTTTTGGAGTGGGTTACGTACCAAGGGGAATTATTGGCAGCTCCACGGCCTAACATCCACATGCTGTGTTCTACGGCCCTGTGCAGTGCAAAGCATGTGTTTAATCCCTAGACCTGAAAACTACAAGGTCTTTCTCAAAGAGGTGCTTACCTAAAGAAAGAAAACTCAAACCAACCTCAGCTAAATTTTTGCACATGTACATTGTCACATGCTGTATCATAATCAAGGGCATGCATCCATGGCCTAGTGTATATCTCCTGACCTGATCTTAAGGTGGGTCGTCAAACCAAAGATAAAATTAACTACCGCAACAGACTCTTGTTCTAATTCACTATAAGTGACGATATGCCATGGCGCAACATGTTTTGCAGCG